GCAAATTTATTAAAAATAAAAAACTTAAATGATTCCATTGCATAAGTACTCATACCCTTATCTGGGACAGTTGAAATTTAGCTCAGGAGCATTCATATTGTTTGTAGATGTTACTACACTTATAGTGAAGTTAACCTGTGGCAAATTCAATTGAATGGGTACGATTTGGAAAGGCACACACGTCTTAATAAAGGTCTAACAGCTGATAATACATATCAGAGCAAAAACCCTGAGGTCAAAAGAAAAAAAAAAGCCCTGAGGCTCAGAAACAGGTTTGTGTCAAGCCACACATCTGGGGAAGAGTTCAGAAAAAAATTCTGCTTCATTGAAGGCTCACAGAAACATGTAGTCTCTGTTACCCTTAATGAAAGAAGTTTGAAACAACCAGTACTCTTTCTAGAGCTGGCCTCCTGGCCAAACTGAGAAACTGATGGAGAAGGGCTTTGGTTGGTGTGGTGACCAAGAACCTGAGCTCCATGATCATATGTGGAGATCTACAGAAGGACAAACATCACTGCAACACACCACCGATCTGGGCTTTATGGCGGTGTGGCAAGACTCAATCCTCTCTTCAGTGAAGACACATGAAAACACACTTAGAATTGGCAAAAAAAGCACCTAAAAGACCTCAGACTGAGAAACACGATTCTCTGGTCTGATGAATCTCAATTCCAAGCATCATATTTGAAGGAAACCAACTCTGCTAATCACCTCCAGAGTACCATCCCAAAAGTAAGGTGTGCTTGGTAGCAGCCTCATGCTGTGGGGCTGTTTTTCAGCGGTAGGGACTGAGGGACTCATCAGAATAGAAGAAAAGCTCAATGCACCACAATTCTGTTTTTGCTTTGTCAATATGGTGTATGGAGTGTAGATTGATGTGGAAAAAAACGAATTAAAAGCAGCTTAACATAAGGCAGCAACATAAAACGTGAAAAAAATGAAGGGGTATGAATACTTTCGCAAGGCACTATAAATGACAAAATTTAAATATAATGTAAATGTAAATAACAAAACTAAATTTAAATTTTAAAACAAACTTTTCTAAAGACAGTAAGTTCCCCTCAGACATGCATTCATATAAACTCCTACCCCTAAATGAATTGCGATTTCTTTAGCATCTCAACCGAATTGAATCGTCACATATTTGAATCGATTTTCAACCGGCTCGAGGTTAATCGTTACATCCCTAGTAGGTGGTACGTGTCAAAGTAACATCCACATGGATGGCAGGACCCAAGGTTTCCCAGCAGAACATTTCCCAAAGCATCACACTGCTTCCGCCGGCTTGCCTTCTTCCCATAGTGCATCCTGGTGCCATGAGTTACCCAGGTAAGTGACACACATGCACCGTCCATCCACGTGATGAAAAAGAAAATGTGATTCATAAGACCAGGCCACCTTCTTCCATTGCTCTGTGGTCAAGTTCTGATGTTCACGTGCCCATTGTTGGCGCTTTCGGCTGTGGACAGGGGTCAGCATGGGCACCCTGACTGGTCTGCGGCTATGCAGCCCCATACACAACAAACTGTAATGCACTGTGTATTCTGACACCTTTCCATCAGAACAGTTAACAGCATTAACTTTTTGAGCAATTTGAGCTACAGTAGCTCGTCTGTTGGATCGGACCACACAGGCCAGCCTTCACTCCCCACATGCATCAATGAGCCTTGACCGCCCATGACCCTGTCACTGGTTCACCACTTTTGATAGATACTGACCACTAGAGACCGGGAACACCCCACAAGAGCTCCAGTTTTGGAGATGCTCTGACCCAGTTGTTTAGACATCACAATTTGGTCCTTGTCAAACTCGCTCAAATCATTACGCTTGCCCACTTTTCCTGTTTCTAACACATCAACTTTGAGGACAAAATGCTCACTTGCTCCCTAATATATCCCACCCAATAACAGGTGCCGTCATGAAGAGATAAGTAGTATTTACTTCACCAGTCAGTGGTCATAATGTTATGCCTGATCAGTGTGTATGTATATACAGTATTATATATATATATATAAAGCAACAATAATTTTTTGTTGTTGCTATTTATCACAAAATTTGACATGATCACATTTATAATTACCTTTAATTATATACTCACCTTGAAAAACATTATCATTACCCAGGAACAGACTAATTTGTGTAATGATCATTAAAAATGAATTGCACTTGTCACTAATTGTAAAGCCATTCTATCAAAGTTGTCAGTGGCACACACTGTGAAGTTCTGTTGTAACTCTATCTGCTAGAGTTTAGCAAGGTTTACGTTTCAATAGAGGTTGTACTTTACTGTTTCATAAACTTCACCAAAGTGCATGCAATCTGACTCACACTCATAAATGTTTATATATTAATTTAAGTGCATTAATGTAATTGGTTACTTATGGGCTGGGATGCATTAGAAAGTTCACCTGAGAGTAACAACACATTATTTTTTTTCAATAGGTCATTTTATTTAAAATAGTATGTTACAATGTTTCAAACTACATGACATTTCTCAAAGTTTTTTGTGTGTTTTATAACTCTGGTCAGTTTTACCTTCACACATTTCAGATATAAAACTATTGTATCCCAATATTATTGTTAATTTACGCCATTATCTAGGCTACATGAAATAATGCACGCCTGTTTATCTCCTTCACGTATGCATTATATCCTTTTCCATCCAAAGCCCTTCCCTAAACCCACCACAGCAAAGGCCTTGTTTCAATCCCCTTGATTTAGCAGAAAAATAAATTAATGTTTTCAGTCAGAAAAGCTACAAAGACTCTGTCAGTACTAGACATAAGCAGTCAAATTTACAGATGAAGCGCAGAACACAAGACAAATTGCCGTTAAACATATCAGTAATAGTCCCAACACACCAATTTTGGAGAACACACTTAAAACATTAATAATACTTTCAATGTGGGCCTAAAGTTAAGAAAACACTCGGTGGGAGGTTAAAAGCTGGTTAGTGTCTTTAAGTTTTAAACTGAAGCGTTATGACGATCTTAAATGGTTGCAGTTGAAGTTAATAATCTCTAATAATCATCCATGTTATAAATACATTCTGGTACATTCATATTGTTTTTTTTCCCCTGGCACATTGACACAAAATAAGAAACACTGACCAAACAATTGATATTTTATAGCGCTGGTGAACATTACGAGGTGGAACACTTTTGACATTTTCCGAACAATACAAAAAGTGTCGCACCTGCACTCCTGACGAAAAGACAAATTACATAACCATAATACACACAGGTCTTACTTTTTTTTTTTCTTCATTCACATTGATAAACTGGCTGAACTAATCAAACACAGAAATAATCAGGACTGAAGACACAAATGAAGTTTTTGTAAATATGCTTAGACCACAGATGCTACTGTGCTGCTATAATAGGAGCCTTTACTCTAACCAGCGAGCAATCTGATGTAGAACACACACGCACACACATATTACAAACTCACTTATTGATCAGGGTATCGTGGCCAAGGCGGCTTAAGCATTTGGATGACAATAAGCTGATTTAATCACAGTATTGTGCTGGAATGGAAAGCTTTTGACTTGCATTAAACACGCATGTCTGTTAAAGGAAAAGTTCACCCTAAAATGAAAATTTGCTGAGTAGTTGCTCACTCGGAGGACATCTAAAATGTAGATGAGTTTGTTTCTTCATCAGAACAGATTTGGAGAAATTCAGCATTACATCACTTCCTCACCAATGGATCCTCCGCAGTGAATGGGTGCATCAATTAACGTCCATCAGTTAATGTCTTGTGAAGTGAAAAGCAAGTGATGTAATTCAAAATTTTTCCAAATATCTTCCGATGAAGAAACTGAGGGTGAGTACATCTTCAGCTAATTTTCATTTTTGGGTGAACTATTCTTTTAAGAAAATGGAAAAATTGTGCCTGTTCCTGTGATGAGCGGGGCCCACTAAGGTCCTTTATGGTATATCTTTTTGGCTATACCAAAATTTTAAGCTATGGTTCTCTGCTTATGTGTTAAAAAAGAGGAGTTACGAAAAGAAAAACAGAAAAATAGCAAACAGACCACTTTGGAAGAAGGCTGTTATTTTAGCACTCGGTGGGGAATTTGTAAATTAATTTTAAAGCAATTGCCTTCTGCAGCCTCAGTTCTTTTTCCTGAAACCATATAAGAAAAGAAACACTGTTCAAACTGCTCTGATATTCTCAATTTGTCCCTTATTGTGTTGTCTCTCTATGACTGAGCAAGGCAAGCCTCTGCAGTCTTGAACAATAAATAACACTAAAACCAACTCAGACGAAGACTCGATGATGTTACCTCTGAGACTAACAAATAAACTCAACTCAAATACAACTGTATCCTGAGCGCAGCTGCTTATGTGTTTGATGCAGGGGCCCCCTACAGGTCGCTTATGCAAACTACACCTATCCATAAACACTCCTGTCCTTTTACTTCTTAATTACACACACTTCTTACTGCTCCCACACACTTGTTAACTCCTCATTTAATGGGAAGTAAAAAGAAAATGAGCTCATTTTAGTCAGCTATACTGGGAAAACCAAGCAATCATGCCATCACAATATGATTTTAGAGAGATCCCATATTAACTGTTTGTATGGTGACCTTGCTACACAAATGAATTTTTGTTAAGGCATGACTTCCCCCTCCCATATATATCAATTTTTTAACAATTGTGATAGCGGCTGCTGTTCAAATCACAAAGTGGTCTTTTGTTACTATGCTGCCCTGATAACAGTGCTCTACTTTAGCTAATGCTCTCCAAAATCCAGCCAGTAGACTTACAAAAGAGCGTGTCTCCTAAACCGACGGCATGGAAGATCTTAAGGTCTTGTCCTATGTGGTAGTTTACATGTACTTATGCGAGTTCAAAGTATCTATTGATGAAATGACAGCAGAACCCATTGGTGCAAAACATCCCCGCAGCGATTGTTATGTGTCTGCTTTGCCACGATAATGGCATTTTGCGTTGCCGTGGTTGCCATATGGAATGCTCTGCATCTGAAAGGCACACTTTTGTCTCCATGGAAACATGGTTGGTATGGCGTCGCTAGGGTGTTGCTGTGGTAACATGGTCATTATGGTGGTCTGCTCTAGTGTGATGATCCAGCGCAATTCCACAGGCTCTAGACTAGAGAGGAGTTTTAGGAAGTGGCAATCTCGCCCCCTAGGTGGCACCATCCCTTCTGTTGCTCCAGCGGCGAGAGGTAATCTGCAATTCACAATTGTTTCATTAGAAAATATAAGAATATTTTATTACAAATTATGTTTCATGTATGTAAATCTTTATTTACAAATATTTATTATATTTATTATATGTGTGCTTGTATTATACTGGAAAGCTAAAGAACCAATTCTTTTCCAGTGATCCTGCTTCAGTGTGGAAAGGTCTGAAAGACATCACCAATTACAAGACACCATCCCCCAGCACTGTGGAGAATCAACAACTGGCAGACGATCTGAATGAGTTCTATTGCAGGTTTGAAAAAACACCATTCACACCTCCTGCAACCCCCCTCTCCCCCCCTCCAGCACTCCAGATCAGTGAAGATGATGTGCGTCAGGTCTTCAGAAAGAACAAGAGAAGAAAAGCACCAGGCCCAGACGGTGTGACACCAGCCTGTCTGAAAACCTGTGCTGACCAGCTGGCCCCCATCTTCACACAGATCTTCAACAGATCACTAGAGCTGTGCGAAGTCCCCTCATGCTTCAAACGCTCCACCATCATCCCCGTCCCAAAGAAACCCAAAATTACTGGACTTAATGACTACAGACCTGTGGCTCTAATGTCTGTGGCCATGAAATCATTTGAAAGACTGGTTTTGGCTTATCTGAAGGACATTACTGGAGCCCCTGCAGTTTGCCTACAGAGCAAACAGGTATGTGGATGATACAGTCAACATGGGACTGCATTACATCCTGCAACATCTAGACAGACCAGGGACTTATGTGAGGATCCTGTTTGTGGACTTCAGCTCGGCGTTTAACACTATCATCCCAAACCTCCTCCTGCCCAAATTAACTCAGCTCTCCGTGCCCACCTCCATCTGTCAGTGGATCAACAGCTTCCTGACAGACAG